TTTTTAAAATGGGGGGCATACTAGTTGCTTGTGGCTTATGCTTGTAATCCTAGCTCCTCAGGAGGCTAGGCTTGAGAATTGCATTTGAAGTCAGCCCAGGGAAGAAAAGTCTGTGAGACTCATATCTCCAATTAGCCTCCAAAACCCCAGAAACGGAGCTGTGGCTCAAGTGGTAGAGCACTCACCTTACACAGAAAAGCTACGAGATAGTGCCCAGGCCTTGAATTCAAGCCTCAGGATCAACACACACACACACACACACACACACACGCACACACACACACACACTCTCTCTCTCTCTCTCTCTCTCACTGGGTAGAGTCTACAGGGACAAAGAAGCCCTGAAAGAAGTTCAGAAGAGTTGTAATTGGGCAATCCATATGATAGATATGGGTGTTGTTTCATCATCTAGGTCTTTAACTTTTCTACATATGTCTATATCTTTCATAGTAACATGTTGGGAGATCTAGCAAAGGTTGGTTAGGGTTCCACCCATATCTTCTCCCTCCAGGACCCAGGATGAGAGATGCTCTGGAGAGTGACTGGTTGCCATGGCAAAGGGAAGGGAGCTGTGTTGTGTATCACATTGGCAGTTGGATATTTTAATGACACTTGCATGTCTCACAACTCCTTGGCTGTATCTATGGGCACATGTTCTACTCCAAGCCATGGAGGTACATTCCTACTATGTGCCCTACAGGGGGAGGGCTAGAAACATCTTGTCAGTGGCACATCGGTTACTTGATGTAAATACATTCTTTCAAAGAACTATGTACCTTTTTTGGCATCATCATTGGAGATACTACTCATATGACAAGTCAAACACTGCTAGTAAGGGAATTAAGAAACATTTTCTTTCTCATCCTGTCTTCTTCAAAAGGAATAAGGGAACGCGCCTGCTAAAAGCTGATATATTCCAACTTCTTGCTGGCTAGCATTCTAGCCAGTCAGCCAGCCTGCCAGCAAGCCAGCTCTTTCTAGAATCTCATCACCTTTTTATGGAGTCAGCTCATTTTCACTGAGTCAGAAAGATGATGTGGAAGCAGTTCAGAGAACTGAAGAAAAGCAAAAGGTAGTTGGAAGAAGACTGGTGACGCTTTTAAGAAATGGGGTATTAAATATTTGAATACAAAGTGTTTCAAAATGATTCTTGACCCAACCTTTTAGAGGAATCAGGAAAGACTTTGTAGCTGGAGTGACATTTAAGCTGGCGCTCAAAGGTATTTGCTAGGTAGGAAATGGTGCAGGGCATTCCAGGCAGAGGGAACAGGTTGTGCTGTGGCAAAAGAAACTATTCAGATTTGGAATACCTGAAGGAGAATAAAATTCTCTGCAGTCAGAAGCTACAGTCTACTAGGACTACATTTACAAAAATAGTATAGGGCCAAAAATGTTTTTTGTTAGCAAGCAGCAACATGGGATTCATTACATGCCAAAGACAACCTCAAATTCATCTGATCTAATGCTCTAATTGGGTTGCCCTGACATTTAAAAAACCATCTTCAAATAATTTACTATCTAGGGTAAAGTGGAACCCTTTATTCCAAGTTTCACTTTACATGTTTCAGTTATCTTCAGTCACTGGCCGTCTAAAAATATTAAATGGAAAACTCCAGAAATAAACCATAGGTTTTAAATTCTACTAACTAGTGAGTAGGTCAGGATTTGAAATATTTCTTGTTTTCTATCATTTAGAAAACACAGAAGATTGAACTCAGGGCTTTGCTCTTGCTAGGCAAGTGTTCTACCATTTAAAAAACGCCCTTAACACTGCTTTGGGAAGCATTTTAATTCCAGAATCTGAACTTCTCATTAATACATTACAGAGATAAGGGACCGTCTTCCTAAGTGAATCAGAGCCATAAGTAATGACACCAGTTTTTATTTTAATTAATTAATCAATTAATTAATTTTTGATTGGTTGTGGGGCTTGAACTCGGCCTGGGCGCTGTCCCTCAATTCTTCAGTTCAAGGGTTAGTGCTCTACTACTTGAGCCACAGCATCACTTCCAGTTTTCTGGTGGTTAATTGGAGATAAGAATCTCACAGACTTTTATTTTTATCTGCAGAAACTCCTGTGGTTGTAAGACAAGATGATTTACCCATCACCTGTGGCTGTCCTTAGTTTATATTTTAATATACTTCATATGCATTTTACATCTTTTCTTTCTGTGAGATGAATTTGTTTTCTACAAATTTATACTTCTACAAATTGCTTTCTTTCGACTAATTGTTCTGCTTTCAATTTTCAAACAGCAAAAAATGAGACCACCCCACAAGTAGGAGTTCTGAGGCCTGGAGACAAGATCAAGCCTTTTGTGAATGGACTTTTTGACATCTATGGACAGGCCTTTTTATTTATTTTTGGCATGTTTTCTGTGCTCAACTGTGAACCAGATGGTTTAGATGGTTGGACAAATGACTTCTCCGTTAGCAAGGTGTCATAAAATACATATTCAAGGCATTTCTACGCTTCCACCTGTTTCAAAATGTTTTAGTCACCATTCTAATCAGAAAGGTGGCCTACTTCCTCAAGCTTCTGGGTAGCCATCTGATGCTTGAAAGTAGAGGGACGTGGCTACAACTCCTATAAAAATAGCCCTTCCAGATGGCTGAGGGGCAAAGTTACAACTCAGCAGCTTGATATAGCTGAGCACTTACATTTTGGAGTAGGAGGAGAGCTTAGAGAAAAGTAGCCAGAGAGACTGGGCTCAAGTCCAATAATAAGTAGAGGACAGTATATGCCAGGAGCGATCACTTAACGTGGCAGATTAGCTGTTAATATTTTCTATTACTTCATCTCTAACACCTCCCCAACTCCAGAGATTCATCCTTGCCTGTAGTCCAGCAGGAACACACACACACACACACACACACACACACACACACACACTTTATCTATTTTTTAAATTAAGGGGCACAACCATGTATCTTTAAAGGATTTTAGAAATTTCCTTCAATGGCAGCAAGCTGAGGCAGGCTCCTCTGGGCACCACTGGGACTTAAACACCCAGGCTTCTCTTCTGATCCAGAATGCATCTTTTCTTTTCTATTTTTTTTCCTGGTTCAAAATGAGGACTTGAACTTGGTACCTGGTACTTTTGCTCATTGGCTGGTGCTTTACCAACTGAGCCGTACCACTACCCAGCCCCCACCCAGGATTCATCTTCCTGCTCTTCTGCTGGAGGACATGAGAAGTTATACCAGGCCATATTTTCCCCAGCCCTGTCCTGAGTCATTTTAACCTTGAAATGAAACCTCTCATTAAAAAAAAAAAAAAAGAAACAAAACAATAAAAACCCAAGCATAGAATATTGCAAAAGTCATGATATTGTTACCACCCTTCAAAACAAACAGTAACACGCTCAGATGACTCACTAGCTTGAAACCTATGAAAATATTTATTAATCAAACACATAGATCCAAATGAGTAGTTCTCTTGTTTTTCTATCTTTTAATTGCCCTCTGTGTCTTCTATTGGATATTTTATAAGGAAACTTGAGCCTCTATATAGTAAAATCACTGTTTTAAATATCTCAGTTTCTGTTCAAGCGATGTTGGCTTTAAAAATGTGGTAATTGGGACTGGGCTAGTGCTTATGGTTGCAATTATAATAGACAGGATTATTTTGGAACCAGCTAATTGAGAAACATGCCGTTCTAACACCATTTCTCAGCCCAGATCATGCTATTACTGCTCCCTGGTGGTAGCACAGCATGACTGCAGGCAAGCCATAGAGGTCAGGAAGGGTTTTTGAGTATCAGTCTTCCAAGTTTTTATTCTTAAAAAAAGTAAATATTTTAAAGTACTTTAAAAATGGTCTTTAGGTAATTGTACAAGGAGGTTTCAAGTAATGCATCAGTTTATGAGCACAATGTATCTTGATCAATGTCATGCCTTCCATCATTTTCCCCAGCCAAGTTGTTTTTCATTAAAAAAAAAAAATACAAAAACCCTACTCTTTAAAATAATCCCAGTAGCCTTGCATATTATTATATGGCAAAAATATAGACAGTCACCCATAAGTGGCTTCTAAATTCCCATACATCTTTGTGAATATCACCATATTATTGGGAAGTAGAATGTTTCCTTTAAAAGGAAATTTCTTCCTTGCATGTGGAACTTAAAAGCACACAGACTTTATGCCAGGTCATTGTGACTCCCTGGGAACAGGCAGGGTGTCTCAATGCCAGTGTACTGTTGCTCTCCTGCTGCTGACCTGCACAGCTGACTAGCAAAGAAGCTGTTACCACAGGAGGAGGAATGGAGTGAGGATGGGGATGAGCACATTTCCATTGTCCTCCACATGGGCCTATGCTACCCTGTTCGAGCTGGCTTGAGCCTCCCTAATAAACCAGAGTGTGAATTCCACTCCGGGTACATCCCTTCACCATGCAGCAGAGACACCTTGGAGCAGAGGTCCACCTGCTATACAGCTCTTGCCAGAACTGAGATATAAGTCAGTGCTACAGTATTTGCCTAGCTAGCATGGGTGGGACCCTGAGTTTGATCCCCAATACCACCAAAAACAAATAAAAAAAACAATGAAATCATTGTCAGGCATGATTTTTCAATACCTTTATTAAGAAATATCAAAAGTTAATTACTGTTCCATACACAGTTTTACAAAGTTCAAGTGACAGGGAAAGTGGAGGATGCCACGTTTGAACACATTTGCCAAATGGGAGAGAGACCCTAAATCTCCTGCCAATCTGTGGTCCACAGCCATCCCTTCCTCTCCCCTCATCCCATTTCCATGAGACCAGAGCGCATTCGCTTGAGCTACTTCAAAGAGTATCAACACATTCAAAAATATTTCTCTACACATTCATCCTCTTACTGTCATTACCCTGAAAAGGCTGAGCTGTTGAGAGGAAGGTTGAGAGCCCTGCTCACGTCCGCTGGTGTTACATTTTCACAAAGCCTGCTTCCGGATCTGGCAAACATTGCAGGTTACAACTGATCATTTCACACATGGGGGGGGGGGGACTCAAGCACAGGTTTTATTTCTTAATTTAACAATGAACAAAAAATAAAGGGTGAGTTACTCATCTCTGGAAACAAAACACCACAGTCATTCCAGGGAAGCCTCCAGTAGAGGACAAGGCTTCTGATTGTATGGCCCTCCAGTTACAGCAATCAACAGCATAACTGAGCAAAGACACCAGCACAGAACACTGGAAGAAGTATTTTCGGGGCAGGACATCATCATCTTTTACGTCAAGGGTACTGCATCATGGGAGTTACACTTTCACAATAACTGGGGCTAGTAGGTCATTGGAATCAGGTAGGAAAGAGCCATGGTGTTGGTGTGCCTTGGTTAAGGCTTGTGCTGGTTTATCTAAAAGTAGCTTTCTGGAGAGACTGTCCAGCAACATCAGAAAGAACTGTCTTCAGAGGAAGGACTCCTTGTTCACCCACATGAGACTGCGTGTTTCATTGGGCTTGCATTCATACTCGATGACAGAGAAGGGGCTTCCCCACTGGCAGTGGTCCCGCTTGTGGTAATTGTAGAACTTGACTTGCCACACTGTCTCGAAGGTCCCAATGTCTGTGAACTGGGAGAAGAGAAATATGTCCAAGACAAACCTCATTCTGGGGGCCAGGGGTGAGAGTGAAAGTCAGTGACAGAGCGAGATCTCCCAGCATAACCAGCCAAATTACTATCTTTCTCTTCTCTCTCTCCCTCCTTCCCTACTCATTTCTTCCTTTTCATTCTTCCTTTTTTTTTAGTGTGCCAGTTCTGGGGATTTAACTCAGGATCTGAGCACTCTTTTAGGTTTTTCACTGAAGGCTGGTACTCTACCTCTTAAGCACAGCTCCACTTCTATCTTTTTGCTAGTAAACTGGAGATATGAATATTACAGACTTTTTTTTTTGCCTAGGTTGGCTTTGAACTTCAACCCTCAGATTTCAGCATCTTAAGTAGCTAGGATTACAGGTGTGAGCCACCAGCTCCTGGCCTTTCTATTTTTACTGGTGATACTAGGGTTTGAACTCAGGGCTTGGCTCTTGCCAGGAAGGTACTCTACCACTTAAGTTATGCCTCCAGCCCATTTGGTTTGGGTGTTTTTCAGAGAATGTTTTGCATTCTGCCTGGGTTGTTCTGGTTGTAATCTTCTGTGTGTGCTTTCTGGAATGACAAGCACATACTATTGCTACTGTTTGTTGAGATTGAAACTCATGAATTTTATTTGGTCTGGGCTGGCTTTGAACCACAAACTTTCCAATCCTGGTCTCCTGAGTATCTAGGATTATAGGCATGAGCCATGGCACCTTGCTTCAAGTCTGGCTTCAGCTGAAAAGCTGAGGCTTTCCATTTCTTTTTTTTTTTTTTTTTTTTGGGTCCAGTCGTGGGGACTGAACTCTGGGCCTGGGTGCTGTCCCTCAGCTCTTCAGCTCAAGGCTAGCACTCTACCACTTGAGCCACAGCGCCACTTCTGGCTTTTTTCTTTTTGCTTATGTGGTGCTGAGGAATCGAACCCAGGGCCTCAGGCATGCAAGGCAAGCACTCTACCACTGAGCCACCTTCCCAGCCCGGCTTTCCATTTCTTAAGGAAATAAAGTAATAAGGCAATAAAGGAACTATTCCTTTATGCCAGGTGCTCTATACCCAGTATTTCCTACCATATTGCTTTTAAGATAAATAGCCCCCAAGTTTATCTTACTTTCCAAGTTTAAATTTCTGAAAACTTCTCTTAGAATCTCAGAATCTTAGACTTTGCTTTAAAGTGACCCTTGCTACAGAGGGGGAACTGGGAAGAATGTTTACTGGTAGTTTTTTAGTTCCTACTTCAGAAGACAGGGGCACAAGATAACATTTGTACAACATCTGCAAGCACAAAACAAGATTGTCTCACATTTATTCTCAGTTCCAGGGAAAGATACTTAGCCTTGAGCTGACACCACAAATATTTTATTAGGTATTGGATTATTAAAGACCTACTCTATTAAGTATTTTTAAGTCAGGAGTCTATGTCACAGGCTTACATAATATATTATTCAACAATATATGAGTCAACTATGCATTTTGCACATTTAAAATGTGTACAAGGCATGATTCTTGCTCTTAAGAAGTTTGTAGTATAGGTGAGTGTTATGGCATATGCCTGTAATCCTAGCCACCCAGGAGGCAGAGAAAGGAGAGAAAGATAGTGAGATGATATCTCAAAAACAAAATAAAAATGCTAGATCTCTCTCTCCCTCCCTCTCTCTGTATAGCAGAGAGTATACTGCGACAATAACCAAAGAAGTTTGCATTTTTCTTCTACAAGATAGGCCTAGCAAATCACTACATGAAACTCTGAACCATGAGGATATATTTCCCTTGAAGCTGAGAAGAGGGCACAGAATACCCTAGGGGCCACTGGGCAGGTTCTCAAGTGTCTTGTGGGATTGCCTGACCCTGCTACCACCTTCTGGAGCTATTTAGGGGATCTGGCATTAAAGAGCATGATGCCAGTCGTTATTTTCTCCTCTGACCCTCCTATTTCAAGGGACAGGACAGGGACTGACTTGGCAGGATTCTTAGACATCTCCAGAGCCAGGAGATGTGGAAAGAAGAAGGGCAGTAGCAACAGGAGCCTTACACTTTGCAGCTGATACAGGAGGACAGCGATCAGGTGCTTCCCAGAAAGCATTCCAAGATGTTTTGAAAATTATATCCTGCAACATTGCTTCATCCTGTTAACTTGGTTCCAAAATAAGATCTGGGCTTTCCTTGGGGAAACACATTTGCCTTGAAATACATTTGCCATGAAACAGTGGATGATAAACCAAGAGTCAATATAACTCTCATGTATGAGAATGAAGTACCTCTCTCTGTCTCTGTCTCTGTTTGTCTCTCTATATGTAAATATATATATATATATACATATATATATATACACATACACACATATACTTTTATATATTATATATAAAGTATATATGTACATACACACATATACTTTTATATATTAACGTTTCCATATGCCTGTATATATTCATAATGATCTATTAGAATCAACTCAAAGATCTAATAATTCATCTGAGAGGCAACTTTTGTATATTTATAAAATAGCATTTTATTCATTACCACTAAAATAATAGGGTGAGTCTTGAAGACATGCCGAACAAAAGGATCTAGACCCCTAAAGAAGAGATACATGATTCCAGTTGTATAAAACTATATAATAGAATATAATCTATGCTGACAGAAAACATCCATGTTATCTGTGGTCTAAAATGGAAGACAGTGATGCAAAGGTGTAGGTGTATGTGCAAGAAAGAGAGAGGAGCTTTTGGGGAGTAATAGAAATATTCTAGTTATTGGCCGAAGTGGCAGTTACATGGATGCAGATATGTGTTGTTCAAAACTCACTGCCCTGTATGCTTGAAATATATTTGTTATTTATAATTATACCACATAGTTTATTAAGAAAGATAGAAGGGCCAGGCACTGGTGGTTCATACCTGTATTCCTAGCTACTCAGGAGGATGAGATCTGAGGATTGCAATTTGAAGCCAGCCTAGGCAGGAAAGCCTGTGAGACTCATTTCCAATGAACCACCAGAAAACCAGGATTACTGACATGGCTCAAAGTGGTAGGATACTAGTGCAGAAACTTTGGGACAGTGCCTAGATCCTGAGTTCAAGCCTCATGACCCACTAAAAGAAATACAGAAGGGTGCAGTGGCTCATCCTGTAATCTGAGCTACTCAGAAGGCAGACTGCAGGATAATAGTGGTTCAAGGTCAGCCCAGGCAAAAAGTTTTGTGTTTTACCTTAAGCATAAGTAAGAGAATTTTGGCCCATGCTAGCCTGTTCCTAAGCAAAAAGAGCTGGAGCCAGGGTGCAAGTGGTAGAGTACCTACCTAACAAGTATAAGGCTTGTTCAAAACCCTAGTATCATCAAAAAAGGAAAATGAAAAAACAAAGTACAAATACTTCTTCTCTCTCTCTCTTTCTCTTCTTCCTTCCTTCCTTCCTTTCTCTCCTTCCTTCCTTCCTTCCTTTCCTTCTTTCCTTTCTTTCCTTCCTTCCTTTCCTTCTTTCCTTCCTTCCTTTCCTTCTTTCCTTCTTTCTTCCTTCCTTTCTTTCTTTCCTTTTCTTTCTTTCGCTTTCTTTTTTTTTTTTGTCGGTCGTGGGGCTTGAACTCTGGGCCTGGGCGTTGTCCCTCAGCTCTTCAGCTTAAGGCGAGCACTCTACCACTTGAGCTGAGCTACAGCACCACTTCCGGTTTTCTGGTGGTTTATTGGAGATAGGAGTCTTACGGTCTCTCCTGCCTGGGCTGGCTTTGAACCATGATCCTCAGATCTCAGGCTCCTGAGTAGCTAGGATTACAGGCGTGAGCCACCAGCGCCCGGCTCGCTTTCTTTTGTTGTCAGTCGTGGGGTCTGAACCCTGGGCCTGGGCGCTGTCCCTCAGCTCTTCAGCACAAGGCTAGCACTCTACCACTTGAGCCACAGCACCACTTCTGGCTTTTTCTGTTTATGTGGTACTAAGGAATCAAACTCAGGGCTTCATGCATACTAGGCAAGCATTCTACCACTAAGCCATAGTCTCAGCCCTGTACAGCCTTTTAAAATACTAATTTATATCAGAATAAAGTTGTGAGCATGCTCTGATCCAGCAATTCCACTTCCTACAATGTATCCTAAGAATATCAGAAAGTTTAGTGAGAAACTGAACACACTGAGGTATCTTTAAGGCACAAATCATGGCATAGCCATATATTATAGAGTACCTTACAGCAATTTTCAGTGTAAAATATTTAAAATTGTCTCTATTATTTTATATTGCCACATAAACTAAGCACAGTACTATCAAGAACATGTAGTATGGTACCAGAGATGTAGCTCAGTGTGAGAGTAACTTGCCTAGCATGTACAAATCCCTGGGTTCAATTCCTGGCACTGCCACCACTGAAAACTAAAAAAATAAAACAAAGAAAAAATATAATGTCATTCCAGTTTACATGACAATTGTTAACGTTGGAAGCTGATGTAATATATTTTTATGCACTTATTTATATATTCAAATTATTATTTTCAAATAGTTGTAAGAGATAGTTTTGATTTAACCTATCGATTTCTGTACACAATGCATCTTGATCACAGTCACCATTTCCGTCATTCTTTCTCCTATCTATCCCATCACTATCCATCTCCTGGTTTCCTACTTCCATTTTCAAATGTTTAACATTCAAACATTTTCAAGTACTGAGAGTATTTCAATGTTTTTACACTGTATTTGCCACCATTCCTCTCTCCATTTGTCTGCCACCCCGAGACCTCACTCCCCTCTCAGAGAAGACTTGTTTCTGCTTCTTGATCTTCTTCTTGTGAAACTGTTATTTTTCAAAGGAAGTTAAACTATGGCAATCCATTCCTGTGCTTGCCACAAATTCATCAATTTGATTGCATATGTATGTGTTTTCATAGATGCTTATGCTTTAAATCAGACTTGTACATATGACAGAAGCTTGTGCTCTTTGTCTCTCTGAGTCTGACTAGTATATTCAATTTTATTTATTTATTATGTGCTGGTTCTGGGACATGAACTCAGGGCCTGGGTG